CTTTTTCCTTCGACTTTCAGTTCGACTTGGAGTCTCCGTCTCCATGTCCGAGTCCGAGTCGAAGGCTGATGTGGAATTATGTGTTGTGGCAGGCGGCAGGTGGCTGGGAGGCACCACCCACCTTGTAACACCCCAGAGAACTATGCCAAAGTGGGGGCCACATGCATTTTCAAATTGATGTTGATGTGGTGGGTGCATGGGAGGGCAGGGAAATGGAATGGGTTGTGCTGCCTGCCACAATTGATGTGGCAATATTTGCTGCACCTTGTTGGCTTCTTCTCCTCCACAACCCCTCCCTCCTAGACCCCGGAGAAACACACACGTCGTATGTGCAACTTGTGCAGTTTATTGAAAAACTTGCCTAATTTATGTGAAGAGACAGGCAGCCATCAGTGCCTTCCCTTCCCTTCAAGTTTTCTTGTTCTTTAGCTTCTTGAGGTCTCTCTGTCGCTTCCGTTTCTAGCCAACTGACAGGCCAATCAAATTATGCAAAGAATGCGCACTGAATGCCGTAAACAATTCCATGGAAAATGAACTACCATGAGGGAAAATGGGGAAATGGGGGAAAAGGGGGAACAACTTAAACGCAATTGAGTTAAAAGTGAAGCGAAACAATTTAATTGAGGGAAATTTACCCATTTTGAATTGAAATTGAATGCAAAACGAATTACCAAAGTGATTTACCCTGCCTCCTGGGGTCCTGCTGCTGCTGCTGCTGCTGCCCTCCTTCCCCTTGGATTTGAGTGATCCATTTACCAAGTTCCAATGGCAACGAGGACATCCTGCCACAGGGGCAGCGGGGAACCATAGACAGGGTCATGGCCAAGCCCAAGTTTTGAAAAGGAAAAATCAAACAGATGTACCGAGCGAGCAGCAGGACAGAGATGGGAGGAGGAGAAGGAGGTGGGAGGGAGGGAGGGAGGTAGGTCGGGCGAGCGGCTTTCAAGAGAACGCTTAATGGCGCAGTAATCAAAAGTCATTATATCGAAGAAGCATCATCCCATTCCATCCCAGCCAAGGACAGTCCAGGCGAGCCGAGCAGTGGCAAGGCGTGGCGAGGGGTGGTGGACTTTGAGCCAAAAACTTCTCTTCACTTAACAAAAGGGAAAATTACGCGTATTAAGACCACAAGCAGAGTTGTCCCTTCCAGCCATCCATCCATCCATCGGAGGGGGAATCACCGCGCACAGTACACAAAAAGGGGCGCGTCTCGTTCTCTAATTTGTTTGTCCCGCAAGGAAACATTGTGCAAAATGTGCCACATCATGGCCGGTCATTCGTTTTGGGGCAGGCAGCAAGCACCGAGAGAGCAACAGGGGTTGCCTTTTGGAATTGCCAGGATAATGGCTCTGTGGAAAGGAAGGGCAAACGACTAACCCGCGGATTAGACCAAAATGCACGCACATCCAAAAAGGCGGCGACAGAGACAGCAACAGAGACATGAGACAGAAGACAGCGACAGCAACAGCAACAGCGACATGAGACTGCATGCGTGTAGTAGAGTAGATCCTTGCCACGGATGCCGCGACACGTGCTGCGGCGCACAAGAAACGGGATTATGGGAAAGGAATTTCCCAAAAGAGGGGGCGAATGACATGACCCAAATTTCGATTCCGGCGAAAGGAAATGATGGAGCTGGCCATATTCCAAGAATTGCCATTCCTCCGCCAAAAGATGATTCCACATAAATCCATAACTCACTTGATCAGATCGATTAATAAACCGAGTTCAGGGAACGCTCCGCTTCGCTCCTGCGTAAAGAAAACCCCCATAAATCCAAAGGAAAGTTCTTGGGAAAATCAATTTGAAATATTATTTCAACAGAAAATTGAACTTTTTGTAATTAATTTGCCAATCAACGAAACCATTTAGAGGAAACCACCACCATCCAGACGGGCAGACAGACAGACAGACAGACAGACAACCCACTCGAAATCCCCCTGGAATCTTAAAATTACAGTCCATGGAAATCGAATTGAAAATGGAAATAGAAAGGGAATTGCAAGATCATTTTCTTCGTCACGGCATCAACTTATAGAACATTATTAAGTGATCTCTGCGATGTGATGATTTTGTTTGCTTACCTTTGCGCGTCGAATCGAAATAAACTCTCGTGCAATCCTCCGAAAATAGACCAGACTCTCACTGGATTCTGTGGTGGGGCTGGGCTGTTGCCTGGCCACCACAAGTGCAAATATAATCAAAAGATTCGTTGGAGCACACGACCCAGCGAATGACGTCACGGATACAGATACAGAGACAGACACAGACCCACAGTGTGCACTGAGGATCATCGTGGGCGTGCGCCTCCTGGTGGTGGCGCTAACGTCATCAAATTATCATTTCCATCTCGTCTATTTACATATATATATATTTCGTGTGCGTGATTTTGTTTGTGTTTTTTCTTATTTGGGGGGGAGTAGGCTAAACTGCATCACTGTGGGCATCATTGAGGCGTCAGTGGCGTCATGGAGACCCCCACAAAAGCCATAGATCGCTCAACGGATCACTCTGGATGGGATGTCTGTCTGGCACGCGGTGGGAGGTCGACACATTTCGATTCCAACAAAATATAATTTCAAGTGCAGAAACGCGATCATTGCCTGGCAATTGATTGACTGGAAAAACGGGCAAACTTCTCCCCCATACCCATCCCCATCCCCATCCTTTTCTTCTTTTGTCTGCTCTTCTTGTGGCTTTATTTATTTGTATTTAACGGGAATTGCGCCTTGTTTTTGCGCCAAACGCCCCCACAACTCACCAGCGACTCGTCGGTGAAAAGTGAAAAGTCCAGTATGTCCGTGTGTCCGTGTGCCCTCAGGCACTAAATTCAGCCAAAAGACTAAGACTACGACTACAAAGTACACACGAACCAAACCGCACAGATCTTATCCGGTAATTCCTTTATGGTCTCCTCTCCCGTTTGATGTTTTGGGGGATTTTCTGCTATAGTATGTAGTGGATACTATTCCGATCAAATGATGAAATAGATTAGATTTTTCTTTTGTAGAATTAATGGATAAACATGGAAATTTAAGCGTAATCACTCGTATATTCTGCCCAAGTGATAAATGATGTGCGTAGCATGCGATCTCATTATCTGTATTACATGTGGATCCGATTTCTATAGAGCCACCAAGTGATGTGCTGATGGGAGCTCTCAACAGCTGCTGCTGCTGACCTTTTGGCAATCCCAGAATCCAATCGAAGTGATGAGGTGAGGACTCAGCGCTTCTTCCTGCCCACCTCGGACCCATTTCGGCTTGCTGGAATAGTCTTCCATCGATTGCTGGAATTATTGAATCGTTGTTGATACGCAAAAGTGCCTCCACCTCCATATCACATGCTCTGCTCCATCGTTCCTGATTGACGTCCACAAAATTGTATTAAAATCACGTTAATTGGCATTTCATTTCGATACTTTCAACAATTTCATAAAATTTAACGCCTATCATGTGTCTACGTCTACGTCTGCGTCTGGCTTGGACCTCCATTGTTTGTTTTCATAAACAGAGATAACTTATTATTGGATATGTATTTTTGAATTATTAAGTTTTCGATTTGGCCAGGAATTCTCGTGACGCAAGGTAGTAAATTCTCACCACCCAGCAGTCGATGGCCTGTGAACAAACGATTCCCATATGCAGAAGGCATAGATTTGGAATGGTATGGTATCCAAGAGATGCAGTGTAGCTGAACCCAGATACCCTACGAGGGAGGAAGATTTCATTCAGCATTTCGCTCTTGTCTGCCAGCCGAGTGCAAACACACAAATCAATGAATCGAATCTTCGCACCTCGTGCAATGACTATAAAAACACAACGAGCGAACCTCATGGCAACCCCCCACACAAGTACCTGGATATATATTTGAGAACAAACAAAGTTCTTTATGAAGCCGCAGGATATATTTGTGGGCCGTCAAAAATAAATGAATAGCCGGCCCCATTGACCTATTAAATATTGTTATTATTGGCTTGTAAACTATTAAATCATTCAAACATTTGATGAGGTTTGACCTCCCGACATTCATTCCCGTTTTTCCCAGACAGATTTTGATCAATTTGGGAACAACATTTTTTCAATATATAATCTTTCTATGGGAGTGAATAATTTTTAAATGTTTAGTTTCATTGCCTTATTATACCCGTAATCAAAAAAGAGTAAAGGGGTATTTTGTTCACCGATAGAAGAAAGCCCTGAAATTTAAATAGTTTCACTTACATTTTAATATTTATGCCATTGATTTTCATCCAAGAGTGGTTGTATTAAAATTTTATATTTTTCACTGACATTTTTATATTCATAAGAAAATATTTAAATTTAATATATTTTATATTTAAGTTGAATATGTTTCCTATTTAAATTTAATATTTTTCATATTTAGAGTTAAATGATTCATATTTAAATTTAATATGTTTAATATTTAAAAATTTAATTTAATATGTTTCATATTTATATTGAGAATATTTAATTTTTAAACTAATTTGTTATTATTTTGCCTACGCGGACTACATTTTAAGTCCTCATGGTGTGAATTGGTTAAAGCTTTTAATTAGAAATAATCCCAACATGAGTAGAACTGCATTGGTTGTGATTTGCATAAATATAATTTAACTGTGTATTCAAGGCGGTAGCTGCTTGAACCAGTTGGGAACTCGAGGGACATAATAAAATAATATAAACATTGTAAAAATAAAAAGTTTTTCCTATAGATTTTGAAATTTTGAATTCAAGTCATAATAATATTCAATTTAAATATGAAACATATTAAACTAAAAATTTAATATATTATAGATAGTTATTTTGAAGTATTTTGTTTTTGTATTTAGATTAAATAGGATCGTATTAAATAAGCATTTTTAATTTATATTTGTTTTATTTATATTTATATTGGAATAAAAGGGAATTCTATTTAATTTTACTATGTTTTTATTTAAAAATCGCATTTTAAATTCAAATATGATTGTAGTTATTTTTACTATGCCTTTTTTCTTTCAGTGTATATATGCAGCAGCGACAAACTATGAGAATTAGGATGCATTTTCACTATGCTACAAAATAAATTCGAGCATTCGAGTATATATGGAATATGGAATAATGTGCATGTCTGAAGGATGCATCCCAGTTACGGAATGTCTAGGGTAAATCAACTTAGCAAATAATGAATGTAAAGGTATGGCTCGACTTATTCAAAAGTAATCCAAATGTGTAGCAAATATCTCTACACTAATCAGCAAAAATCACTAAATCACTAAATGAAGCATGACAAACAAAACAAAACGAAATCCGCACTGTTACCCAATGTGAACCAAAATCGAATATTAACTAATAATAGTACGAGTATGTATGTAAATATTATAGCAAACGAGAGATATTTAGAGGCTTCTTTATCGAGCTGCACCTTTACTATGCAATTGTCAATTTTCGTCACTGAATTTTTCCCTTGGTCTCTGTTTCAGCATTTATCAATTTCCTTTCCCTATGAATATTGTAAATAATCGATTTCGAAAACTCATTTGAAGGCTTAGCATGTATGTAATTTAAACGAAACGAAAGAACTAAATATGTATTTTATTTCTAATATAAATTTACATAATAACATAAATCAAGCAGCATGTTAGCTGCTAACTATAGTTGATAACTAACATACATAATTAACAACCCAAAAACATGACGGCAGATCAGATCCAGTAAATATTGAACGCGTACATACACATTTAAGCTGTTATGTAAAACTTATAGATACGATAATTAACAAACGAACAAACGAACAAACAAACAAACATTAAAGTCAATGCGAACCCTAACCAATGTTGAACACAGACAGACCCAAACAGACCAAACACCCGCACACACACACACACCAATACTATCATACAGCTAGGATATGGATAATATGTATTATGATCGACGTAAGCAAATACAGCAAAAGCAACTGCTAATTATTGTACGAAAATTAAAACAAACAGAAATAAATATTAAATATTGAAAAACATTGTGGTTGACATATTGTCACTGGGCTTCAGGCTGGTCTTTTCGGCCAATATATTACAAAAAAGCGTGTAAAAGGCGTATCCTTGCAGCCCTGACGGGTTCCTTGATGGATTCAAAGGATACAGGAGACCCTTCCGCTCACTATAACATGCGTCACCTCCGGATCGGTTGAAAAATGGCCGAGTTATAAAAATTGAATCCTTAATCCTTGATGTCCTTGATGCGAAACTGATTGCAAACGATCGGGGAGATTCTCCTGATCACGAAAAGGTGTGACCCGCCCAAATCGGTTGACAAATAGGCGACATATAGCGTCACAACAAAAATACTAGTTTTTTCTTCCTTACGCTATATCTCGGCCAAATAGGGGCAAATCCTCGAAGGACCAACTTTTCTAGGATTTTTAGGATCCAAACTGTCCATCGGCTAAATTTTTCCCCCGATCACATGGAGGCGTGGCCCGCCCTGATCAAACGAAAAATGGCGAAGGAATAAAGGATTTATAACGATTCCAATATTCTTATTGTCCTTGACGTCAAACGATGGGGGACTTTCTCCCGATCACGAGAAGGCGTGGCACGCCCAGATCGGACTGGTAATGGCCGAGCTATTCGCATTTTAAATAATGCTGAATAATAAAATAATGGTAGTCCCAGATTTCGCCGTTAAAAAATGATGGAGCCACTGTGCAAATAAAAATGTTGTTGCTGCACAGTGGCGCCCCCATTAATGAACGGTGATTTCTCGAACTACCATACTTTAGTTCCATCCGTGGCCGTCGGTCATTGTGGGACGCCACTGTGCAACAACAACGTTTTAATTTGCACAGTGGCGCCCCCAGTCATTGATCCTTGGTCCTTTATAAGGACTCCACAAAATCGAGGAATTACTTCCGATCGCGAGGACACGTACGCGTAGGACACGAATGAAAAATGACAGAGAAAAGTAAGTATTTAAGACTGGGGAAAATATCCCTGATCCTTGGTCCTTTATAAGGACTCCACAAAATCGAGGATTTTCTTCCGATCACGAGGACACGTACGCGTAGGACACGAATGGAAAATGACTGAGAAAAGTAAGTATTTAAGACTGGGGGAAATATCCTAGATCCTTGGTCCTTAATAAGGATTCAAAAAAATCGAGGACTTTCTTCCGATCACGTGGACACGTAAGCGTAGGACACTAATGAAAAATTACAGAGAAAAGTAAGTATTTTAGACTGGGGGAAATATCCTTGATCCTTGGTCCTTTATAAGGATTCCACAAATTCGAGGATTTTCTTTCGATCACGAGGACACGTACGCGTAGGACACGAATGAAAATTGACAGAGAAAAGTAAGTATTTAAGACTGGGGGAAATATCCTTGATCCTTGGTGCTTTATAAGGACTCCACAAAATCGAGGAATTACTTCCGATCGCGAGGACACGTACGCGTAGGACACGAATGAAAAATGACAGAGAAAAGTAAGTATTTAAGACTGGGGAAAATATCCTTGATCCTTGGTCCTTTATAAGGACTCCACAAAATCGAGGATTTTCTTCCGATCACGAGGACACGTACGCGTAGGACACGAATGGAAAATGACAGAGAAAAGTAAGTATTTAAGACTGGGGAAAATATCCTTGATCCTTGGTCCTTTATAAGGACTCCACAAAATCGAGGATTTTCTTACGATCACGAGGACACGTACCACGTCCTGATCGGTCGATAAATAACGGAGTTATGCTTTCGGCCATTTGAGCCTTTGCACCGTGGCGCCCCCTAATCACCTACGGCCACTGATGGAACTAAAGTATGGTAGTTCCAGAAATAGCCCTTCAAAGCTGGGGGCGCCACTGTGAAATTTAAAATTTTGTTGTTGCACAGTGGCGCCCGATCGACCGATCAGGACGTGGTACGACTCCTCGTGATCGTAAGAAAATCCTCGATTTTGTGGAGTCCTTATAAAGGACCAAGGATCAAGGATATTTCCCCCAGTCTTAAATACTTACTTTTCTCTGTCATTTTTCATTCGTGTCCTACGCGTAAGTGTCCTCGTGATCGTAAGAATATCCTCGATTTTGTGGAGTCCTTATAAAGGACCAAGGATCAAGGATATTTTCCCAGTCTTAAATACTTACTTTTCTCTGTCTTTTTTTATTCGTGTCCTACGCGTACGTGTCCTCGTGATCGAAAGCAAATCCTCGATTTTGTGGAGTCCTTATAAAGGACCAAGGATAAAGGATATTTCCCCCAGTCTTAAATACTTACTTTTCTCTGACAATTTTCATTCGTGTCCTACGCGTACGTGTCCTCGTGATCGGAAGAAAATCCTCGATTTTGTGGAATCCTTATAAAGGACCAAGGATCAAGGATATTTCTCCCAGTCTTAAATATTTACTTTTCTCTGTAATTTTTCATCCGATATGGATGTGATAGGTATCCTCATAATAGGCAGGATGTCGACCATCGTTTCGCTTCAAGGACAATAAGGATATTGCCTTTAAATCGCTATAGCTCCGCTGTTTCTCGTCCGATCAGGGCGAGCGACGCCTACCCATTATCGGGAGAATATCCATAATTTCTTAGATTCCTTTTCAAGGACTTTTCCAGTCTATTCATTGTGCAGCCCGATCTGTCCTTAACGAATATTCTTGGCCTCCCGCCCACTCCAATTAAAGCACACATATAAATTGTATTTTTTAATAAATTATACAATATATATTTGATATATACATGTAGCTTTATATAATATTATAGTATAGATTCCGTCCATGTTAGGTTAGGTAGGTTAGGTTGAAGCGGCTGTCGGGATTGTCAGAGACCCGACACACCTAGGCCGGTTTCGGCCCGTTGTGATACCGCATATTACGTTCCCTTCTCCCTCGTGAGACCCTATGTTATCCATTATCCCATCCGGATGCCCTTATGAAGCCTGCGATCCGTCTGGGACTGATTGTAGACATGTCCGAAATGTCAGTTAGAAAAGGAGCGCCCAAGTATTTCAGTCTCCTTCTACTGAGAGCCGGACAGGAGCAGAACAGGTGTTCCACAGTCTCCTCCTCGTCCTCATCTCTACAGCTTCGACAGAAGTCGTTATATGGGGCGCCCAGCCTGCTTGCATGTGTGCCTATTAGCCAGTGTCCCGTGAGAGAGCGTATGACTGAGCTGCACCTACTCCTACTGAGTTTGCAAAGCTCATCGGTGCGCTTCTTATTGATATTAGGCCATGTTTGCCGAGTTATGCGACATAGTGACACGGTTTGCCATCTGTCATTTATTAATCGCTTAAAGTGTTCTTTTATTTTGAGCTTGCAGGTGGCCATTGGCATACGAATATCCTCCTTATCATGGAGAAGGGGGATTGTTGTGCCAGCTCTGGCCAGCTCGTCCGCTATGCAGTTGCCTTCAATGTCCTGATGACCCGGGACCCATATTAGGCTGATGACGAACTGATAAGCCATCTCATGAAGAGATTTGCGACAGTTTGCCACGGTGGCCGAGCTTGATGTTATCGCATTCAGCGATTTGATCGCCGCTTGGCTATCACTATAGATATTTATATGAGTTGCCGCAGGGGCTATTTCCTGAAGACAGCTCAAAGCCTCCTTGATCGCTATGACTTCTGCTTGGAAGACACTGCAGTGATCCGGGAGCCTGAAGGACTGTCTTATGTTCAGCTGTTCGGAGTAGATTCCTCCTCCGACCTTGTTGTCCAGCTTTGAGCCATCAGTAAAGATTCGAATGGCTCCCTTTGGACCAGGTGGTCCCTCAAGCCAGATGTTTCTGTGAGGGATGATTGTCTCGAAGGGGGTATCTGTATACTCCCTCGGAACGCAGTAGTCCGTTTTTGTGGGGACGATTTTGTTTCCATTTAGGATGGACGCATGACCGGTGTGATGTGACACCCATTGGTCAGAGTCTCTAAGACGGATTGCTGCCATTTCTGCCTGCTCCTTACCTGCAAGGTCAAGGCTCTGCAAGCATAGGATAGCATTTAGCGCATCCGTTGGTGTTGTGCTGAGAGCTCCACTGATGCATAGGGCTGCAGTGCGCTGCACCTTGCCCAGTTGTTTAGTGATGGTCCCCTTCGATAGGGCTGGCCACCACACTGCGACTCCGTAGAGTAGTATTGGTCTGACTATTGCCAGGTAAATCCATTGGACTATTCTTGGGTTCATGCCCCATTTGAGCCCAATGGCTTTCTTGCAAGTGTAGAGGGCTATCGTAGCCTTCTTCACTCTGTCTTTGATGCTCAGGTTCCAGCTAAGTTTTTTATCAATTACCAACCCTAAGTAACTGGCACTGTCACTGAATGAGAGCCTACATCCGTTTAGTATTGGGGGGTTGAGGGACGGGATTTTGTATTTGGTTGTAAACAATACAAGTTCCGTTTTAGAGGGATTGATTCCTAGTCCACGCGACTCTGTCCATTCTGAGAGTCGCGCGAGCTTTGCGGTCATTAGATCGCAGAGTGTTTGAGGGAATTTTCCCGAGAAAATAATGGCAACGTCGTCCGCGTATGCTACCACCTTGCAGCCCCCCCCTTCCAGGTCACACAGTATCTTATTGACTGCTATGTTCCATA